GGAGTGAACTTGAGGGAAGGGATTACATAACAATGAAAGAGGTTTTCTCTTACTTTTCAAGGAGAAGAATGAATTAGGGGAAACACAGTGGACAGGGAGAAAAGTGCAACAATGAATGAATGGAAACTCTAAGTCTCTATAAACTTTCATTAAAATTAATAAAAAACAAAACAAAAACCCATGTTTCTGTATTTTGCAAACAATCATACATTTCCCCCCTGATGCTATTGAATTGAGTATTCAGTATGCTTACTTGTAAAACTTTTATTTAAAAGTGCTTATAGTCTTATATTTGCTGATAACATGACACACAAAGCTCTAATACTAGGAGTTGCAGATGGGATTTTTAGATTCAGTTGTAGTCAAACACAGTTTTACTTTACAAATACTGTCTACTTCCAGGAGATTACCACAGTGCATATATATACACAGTCAGTGCTCAATAAATGCATGCTAAAGAAAGAATGAATCTTTCAGAAGTAGATTTTTCTTAATTTCCTGTTCAAAATATGTACTCATATATACATATTATCAATATGATTTATTTCCCTTGATACAGGCATCACTTTTATTTTTTCCCTCAAATAACAACCTTGTCTCCTTATGAGCTAATTTATCTTGGTTATTGTCATCCACTGTTTGTTTTCTGGTATTAATTTCAAGACAGTAAATATATGATGTAACACCCTATAGTTCTCTTGTATAGAGATAATTTTCAGAGTTCCTTAGGAATAGGAGTGGAGTCTAGTTGATTGTGAAATCAGTGACATTTCATAGGAGTCTGTGTAAAGAGTTGGCTTAATTAACCTCGATGGCATGTGCTGTAGGGGCCACATTTCCACACAGATGAATGATGGTGCATATGCTCTCTGACCACCTTTGCTGTCAGTAGACTTTCTCTGTTTATAGTTAAACCAAACCTGATGGATCATTTCTTTGAATGGTCTTGTGGTCAGAGTGTACAAAATTGGATTCAAAGCACTGTTGATAGGCAAAATAAAGATCACTACCCAAGAGTTTATGGTACCTGAAAGAGAAAGAGAGAGCGAGAAAAAAGATAGTTTTAGTGTTTATATATGTCCTAGTTTGAAGTTCTGAAGTTCCTTTCCCTTGTGTTCTACTAAAACAACTTTTTATCCTAATTATTTTTCCTTTGGTGGTGGTGGTGTTGTTATATGTGCCGTCAAGTTGCTTGCCACTCCCCAATCTATATTCAACAACATATGGGCTGTAGATGTCTGCATCTAGGATGTCTTTTAGATTTCAGTGGTTGAGGGAATTTGGTGGTATTGCAAAAAGGATACTTTGCTAGGTATATTTTTTTGAACATATCAACAAAACTATGCCATCAGGTAGAAATATTTTCTACAAAGCAGCAACATACCATTTTGACATGATTCCATGTAATAAAAACAATATTGTGATACAAATTGTTATTGTTCAAAATGGCTTTTATTGGCCATAATCTCTGACTTTGGCTACATAGCTAGGTGTGAACAAACAAACAAAATGAGTCTGTAGACTACTCAGAAAGGGTTCGGCCAGTCTTACCATATTGCCAGGTAAAAACTAATTTAAGAGGCAGAAGGGGAGAATCTTGCTACCAGCGCGAAAGAAGAATCAGAAAGTCCATTTGGACCAGAGATTCCTGTGCCAACCAGAGAGGACATAGAAAAGAGCAGCAACAGCAGGAGCAGTGGAGAACCAGAGACCAACATGAGACAGAGCTGAGTAGGACAAAGAGAGCTTTGTATCACTGACCTAAAGCCGAGAGACAGAAGGTCCTCCCTGAAGAATTGCATCTTGTTTCTAAATGTAACCGATTAACATCCTTAATAAACCCCATTATTGTGAATATGGTTCTTTGAGTTCTGTGTGACCACTGCAGTGGATTATCAGACCCAATGAGAACCCTGGGAGGTTTGGTTGGTGTCAGAATGGGTGGATGTAGCTTTGGAGAGCATAGGAAGGCATTCCTTTATAGGAATTGGTTTTGCGTTGTGAATGCTATGGATAGAGACTATTCCTCATTAGAGGATTCCTGGAGGTCAGACTTGGCCAACCCCATACAGGCTACACTCTTTTTACAAATATTGTTAGTATTTAAATCATACTATTTTTCAGATAACAGGGCACTCTGGTGGCCTAGTGGCAAGAAGTGGAATCCACTATCTAAACAACAGGCCTCTGGAAACTCTATAAACGTTGATAGTTATAGAAGCGCTTCAGGCCTTTCATTCATAGGGTCACTATGAGTCGTGCTTGACTCAACGGCAATCAACAAGAACATTTTTCAGAAGCATGACAACTGTATAGTCCATGTACTATTTCTCTGAAAGTATACACTTGTTCTTACTAAATATCTTTTCTGATATTTATTTAAAAAATTATATACGGAATATTTAGGGTTTTGAATGAGTATTTATTTCAGTAAAACATCTTTAGCTAGCCTTACGTAAAAAATCATTGCAGTATACATGCAACTAGAAAAGCTAAAGTTTAATGAAAATGTCAAGAATTTGTTGATCCTAGTAAGACAATATCCTTAAAATCCATGGAATTAAAAACGATTAAAAATCATATGCTGATATATTTGATAATGTACATATGTACTGTCCTGCAAATAAAGGTGCTATACCACAAATAAAGATATCTGCGAATTATCTTAAAAGATCAAGTGTGCGTTCCTCCTATCACATTCCTGGGAAATATTTTCTAAACTGACTTGTATTTCAGAAAGTTCTTGTATTGAAGGGCATTTTGCTTATTTCTAAGGTTTCACATATAGGAATAAAGCTGCCATAAATATTAGTGTAAATAGACTGTTTAAACGTTTATATCTTTTGCTTTTTTCATCAGTGTTGTAATTCCTTATATAGATTGTGTACACATTTTGTTAAATTTGTATCTCAGTACTTAATTTTCTTTAGAGGAAGTATTAATTAAATAATAGTGTATTTCAAATTTAAGTTCCCATTACTCTTTTTTACTTTTTTGCTGGAATATACAAAAGTAATTTACTCTTATAGATTATCTTTTTATCCTGCAAATTTACTATAATTGTTTATTAATTTGCCAAGGTTTTTTGTTAATTCTTTGGGATTTTTGGTATAGATAATTATGTCATTTGTAGACATAGACAGCATTATTCTACCTCTCCCGGCCAGTCTATGTTGTTATTGTTGTAAGGTGCCATCGAGTATGACTAATAGTGACCCTATGAACAGCCAATCTGAACCTTGCCATATCCTTTGCCATCTCTCCATCTCTGAGACACTAGAATTCATTACTAAAGTCACAGTGCCAGTCCATCTTCTTGGGGGAAGGTCTTCTTCTCCTTTTCTGATCCTCCATATTTCCAAGCATGATGTCCCTTTCTAAGGAATAGCCTTGTGCATTGCTGTACAGAGGTAACTCGTGGTTGCTGTGATGCTGAAGCCTGTGACAGTGATGTGCCAATCGTGGTAATGGGCACCCATGGTGGACAGTGTTGGTTGGAGCTTCCCAACTAAATCAAGCCTGGAAGCAGGAGCGGCATCCACTTCCGAAATGGCTTGCCTCCGGAAACTCTATGTACGAACAGTGCTCAGGCTGTTCATTCATAGGGTCGCTATGAGTCGTCTACGACTCGACAGCATTAAACAACAACAACAACAGCTATATGTCCAAAGTATGAAAAATAAAAGTGTCATCCTTTCCTCCAGAAGCCCTCTGACAGAACCAGTTCCTTGACATATCTGTTTGCTTTTCTGGAAGTCCATGGAATATTCAGTACTCTTCTCCAGCACCATGACTCAAAGGCATCAATTCTTTTTCTGTTAACCTTATTCGTTGTCCAAATCTCTGATGTGTACCAGGTGACTGGGAAGACCATGGCCTGAATCAAGCACACCTTAGCCCTCAAACTGACTTCATTGTTCTTCAGCATTTTGGAGAGGTCCCTCACAGCAGACTTGTCCAGTGCAATATATCTCCTGATTTCCTGAGTGCTACTATGCATATTCATAGTTGATCCAAGCAAAATGAAATTATTGACAGCTTCAATCTTTTCTCCGTCTATCATAATGTTGACTGTTGGTCCTGTGGTGAGGGTGTTTGTCTTTTTTGATGGTGAGATGTAATCTATACTGAAGGCTGTAGTCCTTGATCTTCTGCAGCAAGCATTTAATATTCTCACTTTCAGCAAACAAAGTTGTGTCATCTACATGACGTAGGTTGTTGATGAATCTTCCTTCAATCTTGCTGATATACTCCTTTTCACAGAGTCTGACTTTGTGAATTATTTGCTCAGCATAAAGTTTAAATAGGTATGGAGAATGGATACAACCTGACCCACACCTTTTTTGATCTTAAACCATGCAGTGTTCCCTTGCTCTGTTCCCACAACAAGGTATAGATTTCATATGAGCACAATTCAATGTTTTGGGATTCTCATTCTTCTCTGTGTGAGCCATAACTTAATGATCCATGCAGTTAAATGCCTTTGCATAGTGAATAAAACACAAATATACATTTTTCAGGTTTTTTTCTGCTTTCAACCAGGATCCATCTGACATCAGCAATGATATCCTTCATGCTTCTTCTAAAACCAGCTTGTGCTTCTGGCAGTTCCTTGTCAATATACTGTTTTCATCACTTTTGAATGATCTCCAATACTGTTTTGCTTGGATGAGATAATAACGATATTGTCTGATAATTTCCACATTTTGTTAAATCACCTGTCTTGGGAATGGGGACAAGTATAAATTTCTTCCAGTCAGTCAGCTGCCCTCCGAATTTCCTGGCATAAACAGGTTAGCACGCAGGGCTACATCTGTTAAATGAAACATGTCAATTGGTATCTAGTCTCTTTCTAGTCTTATTAAATAAATTTATTTTAAAAAGGAAATTAAAGTCACAATTTCTAACATTCCAAAACAAAATGAAGTATTTATGGTGTAATAGTTTAGGTCTGTTTTCCCTTTTGGTAGTATGTATTTAAGCAGTTCCAACCCTTTCTGCATAATTTACTAGGGTCATTGCTCCACTGCTCTCTTAATTGTGCTATCAGGAATTTTTTGAGAAGAACAGCTTCTTTCAGAAAATTTTCATTTATGAGAAGGTCAGAATTATTTATGACTCTAATTTAAAATGATTGCGCTCTGATGGTTGAGTGGCAAAAGCCTGAGCTGCAATTCCAAAGGCATGTGGCTCAAATCCACCAGCTGCTCTGCGAAGGAGAGTGAATCTCTTCTCTTGCGCTTTACTGCCTCGCAAAACCTGCTGAAGGTTCAGCTGTGAGTCAGTTCTGACGTGACAGCACACAACCCCAATTTATAATTATTTAAATGAATTACTGTTTAACATCTTAACTTTCTTTCTTCCTGTTATTACTTTGTAGAAAGGTAACAAAGTCATACCTGGTATTTCTACTTGAAGCAGTGAAAGAAATTTTAGTATAAAAATGGGTATCCAGCATAATGCATCAGTGAACACAATAAAGAAAAACCGCTTTGCAAGGATCATCTCTTTTTTAACTTGATTCTGTATTTCAGTTTTTGTAATGACGTTCTGATGAACACTGTAAAACATGCCTCCATAAGAGAAGACTATGATGATAAATGCTGCCAAGTTAATGCCTATTTAGGACACAAGGAAGATGGTTAATGTATACAAACATTCTTTCAAAAATATTCTCAAGTTTTACTAAAAAAATGAGATAAAATATATGTTTGTTCTTCACAAAGGATTATCTAAGTGCATGGAAACCATAGCATTTATTTGAGTATTCCTTCTGGGAAGGATGAAATGAAACTACACTGATTTAATGAATATCTTCAGAGTGGTAAATGCTACAATAACTTTTTCCACATTAGTTGCTTGTGCAACTGATTTTTTACATTACATTATTTTAAATTGCTGACTCAAAAGACTGTGTTGTACTTTCTTTGTAAGCACTTGTTTTGTAAGTTTTGAAAGGTAACAAATACTATTTCTAGCAACAAACACAAAATGCCAAAAAATGTGTAGTAGTATTATTAGCACAAATTCAAGTAGTGTGGTAATCATTTATTAAGCTGAACCAAGTCGAAATTTATGTGAAAAAGAGATAATTTGGTAAAAATAAATTCAGCTATAATTCATTCCATCTCTCACTGAGAAAACTGGTTAGAAGTTTTGAAAAAAAATACAAGCATTAGAATGCATACAGACTTCATGTTCTAATTTATTGCAAGATTTGAATGATAGCAATTTTAACATAGGATTACTTACCAAGAAAAATTGCCACTGAATAAACTTGGGCACCAATATTCTCTGTATCTTCTGAGTGAAGAGGAAAACATACTCCATTGGTGCCATAGTAGTTTTTGAAAAATTCCTTATTGCTTAACGGAATAAAAGCCACTATAAACCCAGTAGTCCAAATGAGAATAAGAAACATAACTGTTCTGTGTTTTCTGGGTCTTAAACATTTAAAAGGATATACAATAGAGATATATTTTTCCAAAGACAGAAAGGTTAAAAGTAAAACGGATACTTCTGAGGACAAAATGGCCAAAGACCCCACAAGTTGGCAGTGAATACTTTCCATCCACAACTGGGCATGTTTATTGTATTCTCCTCGAAACTTTAGATCAAAGGCTCCAATCACAAATAAGTAGACTCCCATTAAACAATCAGCACCTACAGGGATCAGTAAGTATTAGAAATAGAGAAGCAAAGAGGTGAAATGGAATTATTAACAAGCAATAATTTTCTTAATATTAGCAAAAAACAACCAAACTTCTATTTTGGGAGAGAAAAAAATTTTATACCCCTAAGAATTTATTTATGTAAGTGAACTTCTTGGTCAATTCTGTTTGAGAACCACATTTATATTGTTGTTGTTGTTGTTATGTGCCGTCGAGTCGCTTGCGACTCATAGCGACCCTATGTACAACAGCCCTAAACTCCGCTCTGTCCTGTGCCAATCGTATTGTCTCTGACACTCCCATCCCAATTATCCCTGTCACTGAATCAATCCACCTCATAGAGGGCCTTCCTCTCCTGCGCTGTCCCTCCACCCTCCCAAGCATGATGTCCCTCTCCAAGGACCGGTCTCTCCTCACAACATGTAAGTATGCTAGACGGAGCCTCAGAATCCTTGCGTCCAAGGAGCCACCCGGTTTAACCCTTTCCAGGACAAATCTGTTTGTTTTCTTGGCAGTCCATGGCACTCTCAATACTCTTCTCCAGCACCACAGCTCAAAGGCATCAATTCTCCTTCTATCCTCCTTGGTCATTATCCAACTCTCTGATGCATAACAAGTGATTGCAAAGACCATGGCCTGTATCAGACACACCTTAGTCTCCAGAGAGACACCATTGCTCCTCAGTACTTTGGAGAGGTCCCTAACAGCAGACTTTCCCATGGCAATGCACCTTTTAATTTCCTGGTGCTGGTGCCAAGAGTGTTGACTGTGGAGCCAAGCAAACTAAAGCTGTGTACAATCTCAAACTCTTCACCATCCATCCTGATGCTGCCAATTGGTCCAGTGTTACACTCTATAATTAATTAAGAGAACTCTCTGTGGTCTAATAGTAAAAAAGGTTGTGCTGAGGGCGTGGGGTTTGAATCCACCAGATGCTTTGGGAAGAAGAATGAGTAATCTCTTTCCGTGTGATTAAATGCTTCCAAAAACCTGCTGGAGAGTCAGCTATGGGTCAGTTCTGACTTGATGGCACACAGCAACAGCAATAGTTAAGTAGGGAGCTGTGGTGACCTAGTGGGCAGGGAGTTGGGCTGTTAACTCCAAAGCAAGTGGTTTGGATTCACCAGTTCTGTGGGAGAAAGATGGAAAATCTCCTCCTTTGTAATTTACAGTGTCTGAAAACCTGCTGAAGAGTCAGCTATGAGTCAGTTCCAACTTAAAAGCAATGAAAAACATAGTTGATTACATAATAAATGAATTAATGCCTGTTTTCCTCTAAAACAAGTTCCTGAGAGCAAGAAATTTGGTTTCATTTTCTAATCCAGTCCTATCAAGAAGTGTTGAATAAATAGATAAATAAAATGTCATTATGTTAAGTATTTGGTTCGGGACCTACCCATATATGTCACTATTTATTCAGCTTTTCCACAGAAATTCTCCCAGCTTAACTAAAGGCCATCCTTCCAATACCAGAGAACATAATTCAAAGGTATTATAAGAGAGCAGTCAGTTACTATAACTTTCAAAGGCCGTAACTTGGGACATAGGAATAATTATGAAGTGATATACAGTCAGTACAATATTGAGTAAGGGTGGATAAAATTGCTGGCCTAGAATTAGTCTGTGTAAAATTTCTATCAATTATCCCACAGCTTCCCACTTCCTTCTCTGTGCATTTTAGGCTTCTCTAACCCCCAAACAGGTGTTTGCTCTTCAAGTAAACATTCCCTGTCAGAAAATGAGAGTTTTTTGACTGTACAATCATTCTACCCAAAGATCTAGAAAGTGTACCATTATATACCTATAACCAAAACATTTATATTTATATCCTGATTGCTAAGCACTAAATGGCTATACTAGTAGTTTTTGCCAGAGGAAAGGAAATAACTCAAAATTTAGTAAATAATGTTACAAAATAGTAAACAATTTCTGAGTTCTCTTTCTTGTAAAGTTTGTAAGGAAAAAATTATTAGTAAATTTTTAATATGGGTGAGAATGGTGCACAAAATAGCATACATGTTGTTGTCGTTATTATGTACTATCAAGTCAACTATGATTCATAGTGACATCATGAAAACCAAATCTGAAACCTGACTTATTCTGTGTCATCCTCACCATCTTTTGAGTCCATAGTCATATCTCTTGAGTCCTTCAGTCACACACTTGAATCCAGTGTTATAGTCTTTGTGTCAGCCCATCTTTTCAGAGGTCTTCCTTTCTTACACTGACTGACCTTTCCAAGAATGATGTCCTTCTCCAGAAACTGGCCCCTCCTACCAATATGCCCCCAAAATGTGAGATAGTTTCATAATCCCGGCTTCCAAAGAACAGTTTGTTCTCTTAGCAGTCCATAGAATATTTAGTACTTTTCTCTTACATCACAACTCAGTCATCAATTCTTCTGTTGACCTTACTCATTGTCCAACTTTCAGATGGATAGCAAACAATTGAGAATATCATGGCTTGGTCAGGTTAGTCTTTAAGCCGACATCATTGCTTTTTTTGTATTCTAGAGAGGTCCCTTACAGAACATTTTCCCAGTCTGACTTGTCTTTTGAGTTTTAGGATTGCCACCAGAGCTCCCTATCTTTTGATTTCTTGACTACTAATGTCAAGGGTGTTGATTTAAGACCCAAGAAGATAAAATAGTTGCTAATTTCTCTCTTCTCTATTAGGCTGGTGATAAGGACTTTTCTTATAATATGGATAGACTGGTACTTTATTTACCTGAGAGAAAATGGACACTTTTTTTGCTACTTGAACCAGACTGTAAATTCTCAGTAGCCTGGTTTCTTTTTTACTTTTCTTTTTTAGCTCTCATTTAACACAATATCTTGCAATCACATTTAAAAATTTAGTACAACTTGAAACATTTTCAAAGTTTGAAATTATGAATGTGAAAGATTCTAGCAGCTTAAATATAAGAAAACTATCTAACCAATAACTCAATACCTATGCACTAGCCATCCAAGCAAGAAAGTAAACACAGCCCTTGAGGTAAAAATTTGACCACAGTGGATTGTCATTTTGTCTTAGATAACATGTTATAGATACATTAATAAAATATTATGTCTTTTTAATCACTGCATGAGAGAAAAACTAATGAATAAAAGCTTCTTTTGTTCTGTGTAATGTGATTGAATTTACTTGTTTAAAAACATCTGTTTTCTTTAAAAAAGTAATGCTAATTTCATTGTAGAAAATGTGGAAATGACACAAAGGAGAAACATTTTAAAAGGCATAATTCTACCAACAAGTTTACTTATTTTCTAAAAGTAAATATTTCTGAATAATTTAAATCATGATTATTCTTTAGTTAAGAAATACTCACAGCAGAGAGAAATGATTGACATGGCATAGAGCTTATTCTCAGACCTGATATGAGGTCGCATACACATAACAAAGATGTTTCCAAAGCATGTAACTGCGGATACAACCCAGACAAAGATTCTCTGAATGATGCTTGCCAAGAGATTCTCCACAGATGAAATGCCATCAGTGTTCGGTTTACAGCTTCGAACGTGAGGTGCATATTTACAATACTGGAATTTCTTAAAATATCTAGAGTGCAAAGACAAGCCAAAATAAGATTTTACTTTTACTTCAATGCCACTATATATCATTATTTTTTTCCTCTACAATTTGTCTATAAAAAGGAAGTGTCTTAATTTGAAATTTTTATGAATATGAAACATTAGGGATAACAAAGTTTTAAACTTGAGTTTATTTCTTATTAACTAAAAAAAAATTGATATAACAAAGATACAAGTGTTAGACATGTCTTGGAATATAAATAAAACTGTTAGGGTGAAGAGAATTAAATATTTATATATTTTAAAGTGTTTACTATATAAATGCATTTTACATATTGCTGTTTTTAAGTGCTATCAAGTTGACTATGACCGTTAGCGACCTTATGAACAATAGGTGAATTTTGCCCTGTCCTGCATCACGCTCTCCATCATGATCAAGCCCATTGTTGCAGTCACTGTGCCAATCTATGTGCACAAATCAGTAGCTCTATAGGCAAACAGTTGTATTTGTATCAGAGACGAAGAGAACGTCCAGAACTGAGTGAATTCTGTCCATATTCATGTTTGTTGAAAAATCTCTTCTGAGATTTTATCAAAATGTGGAAAATTAAAAATTGATTTGTTGTAACATAAAGGTAAATGGTTTTAAGAGTTAATTTTTGTTTAAACAAAAATTATATGCATTTGGTTATAGTAATACACATAAACACACAAAAAAGATTAAAATAAAAGTGAAAAAAACATACTTACATGTAGGAAAGATTTCTTAGAGGTCTAAACATTCTTTGTTGAATATTTGGAATTTCAATTCCTTCCAAGCTGCTAAAAATTCAAGTA